GCCGGGGGCGACCGGCGCTCCTCTGGGCTGATCTTGCACACGGGCCCGTGGGCCACCAGCATGAACTCCAGCTTCTCCTTCTCCTTCTGCAGCTCAGCGATCTCTTTCTGCAGGCCCGACTTCTCCTCCTCCAGCTCCTCCGTCTCCTGCGGGGGAAAGAGAGGCACGTAAGGGACCGCGACCTGCCAGGGACCTGCTTGGAGCAGGCAGTTCAGATCCAGGCACCAAAGCGAACCCAGCCATGTCCTCAGAGGACCAACTGTGGAAGCAGCCAGCGCACACCGGCCACAGACCCCACTGCTGCCGAGTCACTGGGGGCTCAAGGTTCCCTCTATTTCCAAAGCGCCAGATCGAGGAGGAGGCAGCGGGCCTGCAGGAAAGGTGAAACGACACCTGGCGCGGCCACGACTGAGCGCTTACGTGGTGCCAGGCACCGAGGGAAGCATTTCATAGGCCTTTTCTCATCTCATCCTCTAGCAGGTTTTTGAAGCAGGTATTATCACCGACCCATTCTGCAGGTAAGGAGACGGGTTCAGAGAGGTGTAGTCATTTGCCCGAAGTCACAGAGCCAACAGGTAGGTAGCCCAGACTTGACCCCAATGTATCTGCCTCCAGAGCCCACAGCCTGCAGGGGAGGCGGGGGGGGAGGCTAGGAGGGATGCACTAAACTCCAAGCAGGATGACAGTGGAGACCAGGGGTCCTCAAACTACGGCCTGCGGGCCACATGCAAATACAAATATTGTATTTGTTCCCGTTTTGTTTTTTTACTTCAAAATAAGATATGTGCAGTGTGCATAGGAATTTGTTCATAGTTTTTTTTTTTTAACTATAGTCCGGGCCTCCAACGGTCTGAGGGACAGTGAACTGGCCCCCTGTTTAAAAAGTTTGAGGACCCCTGGTGGAGACTGTCTGCGCACTGGAGCCTAGGACACGGCCTGGCTTGTGGTCGGGTCATCACAGCCCCTCCTCCCCTTTCCGCTCTGATTTCAGAAGCGTGTGTTTCAGGACGCAGAGAACCCTTCCGGGCATTCAGGTCAGCCCCCCTGTTAGCGGATGAGGAGCCTGGCAGCCAGGCGGGCACCTGAGGACGGCAGGGACCTCAGCCCCTCCTTCCACACAAAGCCAGAGCAGCAGCACATGCACGCACACACACACACACACACATGCACGCGAGGGGTAGTCATGGCAGCCGAGAAGGTGTGTGTCACCAGCCTCCTCCTACTTTTCCCCTCGCACGGGTTCCCGTTCAAGCATAAGGCGAACGGGGCCAGAGCGTCACCGAATGGAGTAGGGTATATTCCGGAGTGAAAAAAGTTTCCATCTGTCTCAAGGGTCTGACAAACGTCATGAGCTTCTGAGAGGTTTCCTGTGGAGGATGTGGCTCAGGGGCCTGGGTGGCTGGGCGGGGGGTG